TAAATAATAAATGCAATCAGCTAGTGAACTGTATTTCTGGGAAAGGCAGCAGGTGGTAGGCAGAAGGGATAGCTCATCAATATGACTGAGCTGTCACAATAATAGAGTCCCTGAATGCTCTTGTACTTCTTTTCTTACTTGCTGAAATAAAGGACAAATGAAGGGAGAAACATTCCCTGACATGCTGATGCAGTACTTCAAGTAAGTCATGTATCTGGCAGTTGTTTTATGATCCAAACTCAAGACCCTTGCTCTTCTGAAATTCTTTAGTCAAAGCCTACAGCCCATCTTGGCGTGAGGAGTGCATACATCTCAGTGCTGCGCTGTGCCTCATGTCTTATCCACGCTTTTGTTCACATTGCTTCAGCCTTCTGGGATGTTCTTATTAATTACTTTCTAACACTCCACATCATAACACTTTCTACAAGACCTGTGTAAGTCCCACTTCATTTGCAAGTCTCTGAATCTGTGCTGCATCAATGAATGCTTAGAGTAATCATCTCCAAGTTGTTTTGTGGCAATGTTTTGCTCAACATAGAAAATTCTGTGCAGTGAGTCAGGGTAGGAAATGAATTCATGAAATTGGAGGGTTTGCCAGTCATGGCAACAGAAGATGAAGGAGATGCAGAATTTAAGTCCTATCCTCAAATACCATTTAGCTCAAAGTGATGACAGAGCCCCAAACCCTCCTAAGCATCATGGTCATTGCTTTAGTTCCAGTAAGTCCTAAAGATGGGCAGAGTTCAGGAGGGGATGCTTCAGTGTGGTTATTTAAGAAAGGTGTCCTGGGAGAGGATAAATTTTGCTCATCCATTCAGCAAATGTGCCATCTCTTAGCTCTCAACTGCCTCAGGTGCTCCTTCACTCCCATCTTCCTTCACCACAGGGCATTCTCCCTGTGAATCTTCACACTATTTCCCTCTGCACATACCTGATTTTGTGTCCCGAAGTCCTCTTTTGTGAGAACATCAGTAATACTGGATTAGGCAACTTCTACTGACCTTTTAACTTGGTTACCACCTTTAAAATAACTTTTTTACAAGAAAAAGTCACAGATCTAAATACTAGAAGTTGGGAATTCAGCTTATCACTTTGGAAGGACTGCAATTCAACCCATACTAGAGATATAGGGATGAGAGACACTGGGATGCTCAGAGGATGCTCACACTGTGATGGAGCATCAGAAAAGTCATCATTCCAATGAAGAGCCATACACTCCTTACAGCGGTTGGGACCAGGGAGTTATATCTGTTGTTATTTTCTGATAAGAACCTTGCCATTTAATTTATTTCATCATAGGCATTTATAATCTGGAATCAAGAGATAAAAGCCATAAAAGGCAGATAACGCGCCATTGGGCTGGTAACAGGGCAGTAGGCTTCCTCTGAGCTTCAGAACTGAATCGTTCATGGGCCTTTCATCATTTATTTACTTTTGGAGGAGGAAGAGAGTAAAATTATAAATACTATGCAAAATTCATAAGCTCCATCTTTTGCAGTATCACTTTTACAGGGAAATTGTCTCCAACGCTTTAAACATTTTTGTGCTACTTCTAACATGATATAATAAATATATTATTAAAACTTAAATTCATGAACATTAAACAAAAAGGGATTCTTCAAAGAGGCATTGACATAGACTGAGAACTAGAAATGACATCATGGCTCTGAGGAAATCTAACGTATTCAAGAGGATCTCACTGAGATCTGCAACCTACATGTTGTGTGATGCAGTGTGTTGTATAATGAAGAAAGCATGATTCTTCAAGTTCAAAGCCGTGTTCCTAAACTAGTCAAAAAAACTGTTCATTGAATTAATTACAAACTTTCAGTATCTTTCAGAAAAATGAGATTAAATCAGGGAGAAGGAAAGAATGTATTTAAACTATTAAAGCAAAATAAGAGAAAAAAGTTATATAAGACATATTTTTCTTAATCTCTGCACCACTCAGGGGCATGGTACCTCCAGGGTCTTTCAGTGTTTTATTGAAATACACTTCCAGATTTCAGTTAGGAAATATTTTTGAAGTAATCCTTAAGATCCTGTTTTTCACCGTATGTTAATTTAATTCTCTTCTTTCTTTCTGAGGCTTGTCTCTTCACTCTTGATTATTTCCCGTGTTGTGCAGAGTGTTTCAGGTTGGTAGTAACTAATATGTCTACTTCTGCTTCTGTTGTGTTTTTGAGATCCTATCCCAAAATATTTTTTATATATCTTGAGTCAGTTATTACAGTGTACACATGTGTCAAAACATCACGTGGCTCTCCATGAATACATGCAATTATTATGTATCAGCTGAAACACTGTTTTGTCAACAGTGTGCAGCAACATACAGCTACTACTTCAACAGTGTGCAGCAACATACAGCTACTACTACTACTACTACTACTACTACTACTACTACTACTACTATTACTATTATTATAAAACATACCCAGATGCTCTCCTCTTGTCGATACTGCTTCCAGTTCCTTCCAGCATCACTGAACATCAGGAGGTAGCTTGTCACCCAGTCAGAGCTCCCGTATCCTCCCTGGGTGGCCACAGCAGTGACCTCCATTCGCTCTCCAAGGTCAATCTGTAGCCATTGATATTTATTTGACACAAGTGGGGTCCAGCCACCAGCACCTGTTGGGAACCAAAAAAAAAAAAAGAAAAATGGCATAAGAGGAGCAAATTACTGAACATATCTATGACAAGACATTGAAAAGTGTAGGATTATAAATACATCATAAATTTAAGAGAGTCCTAGATTCACATTAGAAACAAGAGGCAGAAGAATTACTTAATGAAGAAATCATTAAATGGAGGAGGCCTACACTGTTTTCACAGTCAGAGGGTGACTCCTTGACACCCTGAAATACAGCTAGCTTTCCCCTGAATGGAGAAAGATTTGATGTGGCGTAGGTTATCAATTCATCATTCCTGTCTTTTCTGAGGATCAATGCACATGATAGCCAAAGTGCAGGATGTGCCCTTTGCTAAATACAAGAGATTAATCCCTATACTAGGAAGTACAATACTTACAGACTTATTGAAAACAGACATTTAAAAGACCTGTTCAAGGGCAACCCATATGGTTTTCTGTATGTGAGGCCATGGGTTAGAGGCCCAGCACTGCAAAAAGTTAAAATTAAAAGTAGAGAAATTATCTAAAGCACAGAGTAACTTATAAAATGATCTCACATGGCATGGTGGTTAGTCTTGACTGAAAACTTGATAGGATTTAGAGTCACCATGTCGGGGAGGGATTTTTTTTTTCCGATTTTAACTGAGGTGGGAAGATTCACCATGAATGTGGGCGGCACCATTCAATGGGCTGGGGTCCTGGACTGAGTGAAAGTTGAAAGGGATCTCAGCAGCAACATTCATCACTCTCAGCTTCCTGAATGTGAACACAATGTGTCCAGCTACCTCATGCTCCTGTTGCATTGACTTCCCCACCGTAATGCACTATGCCTGAAAATCTGAGCCAAAATAAATCCTTCCCTCCTTGAGGCAAGCGCAGAGAAATATATAGTATGTGAAGATCTTTTAATTGATGCTCCTACACTTGTCTACCATTTCCTTCTACTTTCCAACTTTAAAAATTCTTTAGAGCTCAGACTCAACAATTTCCCATTTTCAGAGTTGATCTTTGTTTAGAATTCTATTTTCCTTTAAATATGTCTAAGCAGAAACCATTTTGATCCAGAATCTTAAAACATACATATATTTTTGTTTTGCTTATTTTCTTTTATATTTTGACTTGTCAAGTCTGGGAATTGATGCAGTAGATGGCTGGTGGACTACTGGAGGCCAGTACTGACATCTGATTGACCTGAAAACTCTCATCTTTCCTCAGGTCATATCTAGAAGATGGGAAAAGCTTTGTTCAAAACAGGATGTTTACAATGAGGCACGCCCTCCACTCTTGCATCTTAGTTTTCTGTATGGAGAGAGATTTATTACAGCATGCATCTCAGAAATATACACATTTGTCCTAGCCAGAGAGAATGCATGGATTTCCTCAACACTCAATAGAACCGCTGCCATCACCTCTGCCATCCCTCCTTCCCTCTTCACATAAAGGATGCGGTGGGCTGCTACATACCCACTTCCTTTCATATTCAGCTCAACAACCAATACTTACTGAGGATTTGAGAAATTTGGGTCAGATGCAGTCTATTTTAGATAGATTGTGTCATTTAATTCTTAAGGAAGCCCAAGGACACAGTGTTATTATTTATCATGCCTTTGTGGGGATGTTGGACAGTTTGCCTGGGTTTACACACCTAGCAAATAGCTGAGCATTTGAATTTGGACTCTGTGCTATTGATTACTCTTATTGCATAATTTTATACATTATTTTTTGAGACAGGGTTTCATGTATTCCAGGCTGGCTTCAAACCTGCTAGGTAGCCAAGAATGACCACTTCTGATCCTCCCGTCCCCTCCTCCTCCTAAGTGATGGAATTATGGGTACATATACCACCACACCTAGATTTACATGGTGCTGTGGATTGGATCCAGAACTTGGTGCATGGAGATAAGCAATCTACCAACCAAGACACATCCCTAGCACCCAACTGTATATATTGTAATGTATTGGATATATTGACAGGATGCATTGGTACTAAATAAATGTACAAGGGATACAGTCAAAGCTTGGGAGTTGGTATGGCTCCCAAAGAAGAATGCAGCAAGGAGATATTTCCATGCTCTGGGCCAGTCTGTGTTTCCAAGTGTAGATGTGTGCTGATGGCAACGGTTTGTCCTCTGCATCTTTCTGCTGAGATAACTGCTCTCTCCCACATCCTTGTAAAGTTCAGAGGTAGGAAAACCTCCCAAGCTCTGTGCTAACTAGCAACCGAGAGTCCCAGGTACAATGCTGAAATAGCATACTTTTTCTGCTATTATTTTCTATGATTGCTTCAAAGAATACTAGGAAAAATGTACATAAGATGTTCATAGCCAATACATCACACCAATATGGTACCCTGGGAATTTTATACATATCAGCAGAAACCTCTGAGGAACTATTACATATTTTGAATTTTTCCCTCATCTCATTAGTTACTGCTGATGATACCTTCTTAGATTATATTTCTTTGTGATATTTCTTTATTACTTTCACTCCCTCTTATCCCAGGTCTAGAGAAGCAATTAACCTGGAAACACATGTAGAGAAGTAGTACTGAGGTTGGGGTGAATCAGCAGAACCCTGGGGTGCTGCCCTGGGATCCTGGGCTTCCCAGGGGACTCAGGAGGCCAGCCCAGTCCTTTCTCCATTTCACTTGTAATTCCTTAGTTTGTTTTAATAGGTACTCCTACTGACAGTTACTTAGTTCTACCTACTATTCAGAGGTCATGTTCATATGCAAATAACACATCCTTCTCAGCCATTACTGGTAAAGTAATGAAATGAAGACATTAAAGATTCTCCTCAGGATGTCTCAGCCTCAGGAAATCTGCAGTCCCAGCTGGGCTTTAAGGATATGTTGCTATACACACTATTGAATTACGTGCTTCATAACAATGTGGAGAGTATAAAATCACTGCTGGATAGATAGCATCAGCCTAGTTGCCTTTATTAAAGGCTGTTGGGGGTTCAAATGGAGAGTCACAATGAAGTAAGTGTGGATGCAGGTTGGGGAGGGATGTGGGCTAATTCCACTAAACAGTGTGTAGTTAATTGCCCACTCTCAGTCTCTGAGATCAAGTTGTCTCTTTCTCAAGAAGGAGGTGAAGGAGAAAGAGAAGAAGGAGGGAAGAGAAGGATGGTAAGAAGAATGGCAAAGGGAAGAGAAAGGAGAGGATGAGGAAGGTGGGCTAGCAACCAGAAACCATTACAATTATCTCACAAGGTTGCAAGGATGAAATAAGATATTGTATTCAATTTGTGTTTCTTTTAAATCTAGATTGATAAAAATTACCTGTTCTTTATTAATATTGCTGCTATTATTATTTATTTTTATTACTGTAGAGTCAAGGGTACATACATCCCAACCCTTCTCTACCTGGCACCATCTGTTCACTCTCTTTTAATCTATAGTCATTAATGCTTCATACACTAAATATGGGAAACAGGTGTGTCTTCTGAATTCAGTCTTTCCCCTCATCACAAGCATTACTTCTCCACCTCAGCCTATTATTCCTCGCCTTGGCTTCTGGCATGACACTGCACCTGAGCTAAGTGAAGTGTTAGGATTGTAGGTGGCAGAAATATTTCCAGAGGGCTCGGCATGTATGGATATCCTAAGAGCCTGTGAATTCTAGCACCATCCCACCCACTCATCACACATGTTCTGACACGTGCACTTCAGTGCCTGGATGCAACTGTGCTGAGCAGCCACGGATTTCTCTCACATTTGTTCATGGTTTGACAAACAGCAGAGGTTATTTTCTGAAGGGCTATTATCTTCCTGAAGACGGATCTAGAATGCCAAGTTCTGTAACCACTTTGTCCTTACAGGACCACACTTACACTTGTTTTACATGATTTTTTTCCACTTTTAAACTTCAGAGCTCTGAGGAAATGATTAAAGTTTTGCCATGTATTTTATAATGGAAAATAAGGTAAGAAAAAGAAATGAAAAAACTACAGAACTTGCATCATTTGCTGGGAATACTACCAGATAGTCCCATTCCCATTATTTTATTTCCTAAAAGAGTCCCATAGTTTGGCTTTATCATACCTATTTCATTGAGATAAATAAAACATCTGATCGACATACATGTAAAGGTATTATTTTTAAGTGTGCTCCTCTTTCCTTTCTTAGCCCTACCCAAGACATTTTCTTTTTTCAAATTTTTTAAATTCAATAACCACATGATTAGAAGAAGCATTTCATTACACCTTTAACATATTCAGTAACACATTCCAGAACAAGGATACATCTCTTTCAAAAGTGGCTGTAAATGTTTAGGTTCACAGTTGAATTAATACAGTCATACAATATTGAACTCAGTATAAACCCTGTAAGACATAAAATTGAATGATTTTTTTTACCCTTTAAAGAAGATCTCCATTTTATTTTAAAATATGCTGTTTCCTACATTTTTAATGCTACTAACACCTACCCAAGATATTTTCACATGATTCATCATTTAGTGCTTCTTATTTATACATGTCTGGTTGAATTAAGTCTCTAAAAATATTAACTATTTTTATTTTATATGTATGAGTGTATTGCCTGAGGAATTCAGAAGAGGGCATCAGATTTCCCTGGAACTGGAGTTCCAGGTGCACACTTGTTGGCCACCATGTGGGTGCTGTGAATTGAATCTGGGTCCTCTGCAAGAGCAGCCAGTGCTCTTAATCACTGAGCCATCTCTCTAGCACCCTTAAGTCTCTGTTTTATAGTTTTTTGCATCTCCATGTTATAATTCTGTATTTGCTTCAGGCTAGACAGTCTATTTTACTACCTTGAGGCTACAAAAGGAATAAACTAAAAAGAAATTGCCTCCATTGATGCTTTAATTGAAAAAAAAAAAAAAAGACCACAGTACCTATGGTAGGCAGTGATATGGTAGAGTGTGTGTTGACTTTGTTCATACAGGACATTTCAGAGACTTTACAATCACCTCATCACCCTATGACTGATTTCCTCAACATTTGATGAGCCAAAAAGATACCCAAGAGCATG